TTTCTTGAAGGAGAAAAATAAAAGCCACCCATTTTCTTGGTCTCTGTAGCCCTAATCTAGCTAAAGTAACAATACGGCAAAGGCTATGGCAATGATCTAAGAACTGGAGATTTTGCAGACAAGATTGAAGTGATCAGTCAGCAGCTATCCTTTATTGATGGAGTGAAAAGGACGTTTAACTTAGTGAGTCCAGGGTGAAAGAAAAGCCTGTTTATGGAATGGTTTTTGCTGAAAGCTTAATGAAGAACTTTATTGGTAGATATAAACAACAGGGGGACATTTAAAGCATTTTTTTTCACATTTTCACTTTATTTAATCAGTTAAGTGAGTGGGATTTAATTCTTGACATGATGAGTTTCATGGGCCTTCAGTTTGGTGACATAATTTTATTGTCATAAACTCTCAACCAGCCACTGATAGAAGACTCATGAAAATGAAACATTGCCATACACCCTAATGCATATTTCTAAATGACCATCAGAGTCTTGTTTTTTTTGCCCTGGCTGAGTGGTACCATACACCAAAAGATTGTGGGTTCAATTCCTGGTCAGGGCACATACCTAAGTTGTGGGTTCAATGTTTCTCTCTCACATCAATCACATCAATGTTTCTCTCTCTCTCTCTCTCTCTCTCTCTCTCTCTCTCTCTCTCTCTCTCTCTCTCTCTCTCCCTCCCTCCCTCCCTCCATCCCTCCCTCCCTTTCCCTCTCCCTCCCTCCCCCTTTCCTCTCTCCCTAAAATCTAACACCCCCCACTCACATTCATCTTTCATCTGGGGCCACAATATTTGAAATTCTAAAATCAAATGTCAGAGTCTTTCCACCCCTCTGTCAGAAGGACTATTGCTAAAGAAAGCCCTTCCACAGAAAGATAATCAATAACTCTTACCTAAAGCAAATGATTTGTTGTAAACTGCTTTTCATACTCTCTAGAGGGGAATCTAAAAATGACCTTAACTATAAGAATCTGATTTTAGCGCAGCCTGGTTAAACATAGAGCTAAAAACTTCTAAATAGATTCTTTTAGGTTCTCCCCAAAGTCTGCATTTCCTCATTGCCCAACTCCAAGGAGTGTGATTACACTGTAGTCTATGTGAATAGCGCCCCCTGGTGTCGCATGATTTGAAACCTGCATGGCCAAATGTGGCAGCCCCTTCCAGATCTTTGGTGAAAGAATGATGCTGACCAACCTGCTCTGGCAATTTCAAAAGAGAACTGTTTTAAGCCAGTGCAGGTGCCTCCTACATAGAGGGCTAGTCATATAGCCAATGAAGATAATAGGTATCATTAGCAGGCCCTCTTGTTAGGGATTTTAACAGCATCTATATCATCTAATCATCTTTGAGGTTTTCAGATCAACCCTTCAGGAAATGAACTAACATTGCACCTAAGAAGACAAAGCAAAAATTACCACTGCAAAACCACCCTGTTTTATACTATAATGGTGACTACATGCCATTATATATTTGTCCAAACACATAGAATGTACAATACCAAGAGTCAACCCTCATATAAACTGTGGGCTTTGGGTGATTGTGTGTTAGTTAACAAAGGCTCAGTTGTAACAAATGTACCATTCTGGTGGAGGATGTTGATAGTGGGGGAGGCTGAGTGTATGGGGGCGTCAGAGGCTATATGGGAAATCTCAGTACCTTCCACTCAATTTTTCTGTGAGCAGAAAACTGCTCTAAATATAGTCTAAAAGTAGTTTAAATTTTTTGTTTGTTTGTTTAAATTACCACTGGACCTGCCCTGATTGGTGTGGCTCACTTGGTTGAGTGTAGTTCTGTGCACTGAAAGGTTGCCAGTTTGATTTCAGGTCAGGGTCAGGATCTGCTGTGGACTCAATCTCTAGAGAGCATGCAGGAGGCAGCTGCCTGGGTATTTCTGCCTCTCACTTCCTCCCTCTCTAAAAATCAATCAAAATGTTTTTAAGATTACCACTGGCCCTAACCAATGTTCTCAATCGCAATCAATTTTTTTTTAAATTCAGACTTTACCTTAATGTAAGGAAATCATCTTTTTGTGGGTCTGGTTCTGTCATCCCTACAGGGGAAGCTCCTGAAAGGCCAGAAGAAGCATTTATGTCAGCACCTAGCAACTGCCTGTAGAGATGGCCTGATCAGAGGCCCAGGTTTTTATTTGTCTAGACGAGGGGTGTCGAACTCAATCAGAGAAGGGGCCAAAATCTAAAATCCAGCCTAAATCGCGGGCCGAATGGTTTACTGAACAGTCATAAACTGTCATTGTGATGGAAACGCAGCGGAGTGCAGTGATGACAGCGTGGTGCGGGCCACATTGCAAGGCCTGGAGGGACGGATTTGGCCCGCGGGCCTTGTGTTTGACACATGTGGTCTAGACTGTAAGCACTATGAAGGACAAGGACCATGTTGGTCTCATTCTCAACTCTAATCTCAATGCCCCCCAGAAAGATTGGCAAACAGGTACTGAAAAAAATCACCCTTGAATGAATACATAAAATTGAATCCCCCAAAAGCTAGCATGGATGTTATCCTTCCTGCACTTAATTTTTTGGCAAATGCTACTTGTTTGGAACTTGAACCATTGCTGCTAATTCAAAGAAGCAAGAGAATTTTGTAGAAATTGTTCTTTCTATGCTGTAGTATATTTCTACGCTTTAGTGCTGGGAAGGCTCAATAAGCAAAGGCATAAAAAATAACAGCTTCAAAATAACATTTATTTCAACAAAATGATCTGCAAATGTAATTTTGCCTAATAAAGAGATATTTAAAGTTTTTATGATAAAAGAATTTTGAAGGGAAAGAAGGAAGCTGAGACAGAAGTTAGCTTTTAGACTCTTAAAATCCTTTCTGTTAAAGAAAAAAATTCTCAGGAAGAAGCCATTATTCTGACACTTGTTATTCAGGACTATTGCAATAGGTACATCAATGAGGAAAAACTTTTCCTCTGCCCTCTTAGCTTCAGTGCTTGAGAGCCTGAAAATTAAACTGACAAAAGACAGTGAACAGTAGCAGAATATGCCACTCCAGGGTGGGGGAGCCACTGGGGGGAGGTCAATGGGGGGAAAGGAGACATATGTAATACTTTCAACAATAAAGAATTTAAAATTTTTAAAAAGAATATGCCACTTTGGCATAAGGATTATTTTGAACTGAAGGCAACTGAAAAGAAGCAGATAGATATAAGAAAAGTTCTCTGCATTCCTATTTTCCAAAAAGTGGACCAAAATTTATAAAGGTGTCTCCCCCCTCCCCACCTCCACCTCCAGTCCCCTCTCTACAGGAAGGAGAGAGGTGAATCACTAGAGACAATTCTAGACTCTTCTAGACTCTTCTCAGCCCAGAGAGGGCACCAGAGGAATCTATATAACAAACTTAACTAACTAGCTTTTATCTTAGTTCCCCCATATACAGCCTACCTCAGTTCCTCTGGAACATCTCCCAAGTTGAACAAACTGGTTCTCAAACAAGCTGTATAGTGGGGAGGAGGGGGATGTCTTGGTTGTGGAACAAAACTTCTGTTTTCAACATGACAACACTTTTGAGGTATCAGCATGACAAAAGGTGTCTCCCAAACAACAAAGGAGGGAAAGTTTTTGACCATTAGCACAATTTTAAAACATAAAGAGACCATCAATAGCGCTAATGTTGCTAAGGGTGTGAAAGGAATGATGATTACAGGCACTTGAAGAGGTAGGGAAACTTGTAGAATTGGATAAACTAAAAGCAGATAGCTAGTGACAGCATTTTGAAGGCAGTGACCTGTGAAAAAGCGAAGATGCCACATACTAACCTCCTGAAAGACACCCTGGAACGAGTGCTGAAAATGATTCAGTGTGATTATATGTGAATATCTATATGATGGAATATTACTCAACCATGAGAAAGAAGGAGAGCCTGTCATTTGCAACAACATGGATGAAGCTTGAGGACATTATGCTGAGTGACATAAGTCAGAGAAAGACAAATACTGAATGATCTCACACATATGTGGAATCTAAAAATCCAAACTCTTAGAAACAAAGAGTATAATGGGGGTTACCTGGAGCTGGGGGAGGGATAGCTGGAGAGAAAATGGTCAAAGGGTACAAAGTTGCAATCATGTGGGAAAAATAAGTTCTAGAGAATGAATGCACAGCATAATGATTATAGTAAAAAATACTGTATTATATACTTCAAAATTCTAAGGGACTAGATCTTAAATGTTCTTACCAAAATGATAATTACGTGATGGGATACAGATGTTAGCTAACACTACAGTGGTAATCATATTGCAATATATAAATGTATTAAATCATCTGAAACTTGTACAATGTTATATGTCAACTTATCTCATTTTTAAAAATTATCCAATGAGTGTTCATAATTATCCCTTCAAATCCTAAAAACCTAAGATTTCTATGGGAATTCTATTGTAGAAGAAATTATAAAGATTATTTTTAATAAAAAATATTTTCTAATAAAAAGTGAAATAAAGATTCTTGGCTTTGCCCTGACCAGTTTGGCTCAGTGGATAGAGCGTCAGCCTGTGGACTCAAGGGTCTCAGGTTCAATTCTGGTCAAGGGCACATACCCAGTGGGGGGTGTGCAGGAGGCAGCTGATCCATGTTTCTTTCATAGATGTTTCTGAGACCCTATCCCTCTCCTTTCCTCTCAAATAAAAAAAAATCAATTAAGAAATATATATATATATATATATATATATATATATATATATATATATATATATATATATATATATATATTAATGTTATTGGCCTTAATGAGGATCAAGACAAACTACCCCGAAATATGGCACCTTGGCATATTGAATATTTTATTCTGAGAAAACAGCAGCAGGAAGGTCTCTCTGACCTTCAACCCCATTCTTCTCCCCTAACAGGTCATAAAACCCTCATGTGAGAGGTGCTCTGCCTATACCCAGAGGAAAACATCCTTATCTTCAAAGAAAAAGAGACAATGAGAAAAATCCTAACAAACAGGACTTGCTAAATTTCTGCCAGTTGGCTACACTGACTTACCTCATACCCCTTGCTTATCATATTCCTCTACGACTGTCCAGTCTTCATGAAAATATTCAGGTCTGTTTCTTCGGATCTTCACTTCCTTATGAAGGATCTCGTGTCATGTGTTTTTTTTTTTTTTAAAGAGATAAGCTCAAAATGGAGCCTCTTGTGCTAAACCCACATCATCAAACCAAGACTCAGTACCTAACCTAATTGCAATTTCAGCCTCTCCCAGGAATACAATCTTAAATCATTCAATCTGCAATTTCATGGCCGGCACTAATGAGGTAGGATAGACAACTTCCACCCACAAAAAAAAATAAGGTAGTAAGCTCTTGCCTTGTCCCTGACCTCTTTTTCCTCTAAAAGCCTAATTATATATTCAAATTTACTTGGTTGAATTTTGTTTTTAACACATGTGAAACATATATTAAATAAATGTACATGTTTTTCTCCTATTAATCCGTCTTTGTCAGTTTAATTTTCAGACCCAGCCAGGGACCCTAAGAAGTTTGAGGAAAACTTTTTCCTCCCTGATAGCTGCGTTCGGGAAGGTTTTGAGCAAAATTAGCATGGATACATTTTAGCAAGAGTGGAATTTTGGCTCCCATTTCCTGACTAAACCATTAGTTCTCTTGTCTTCTATGTCTCTTCCAACATTCCCACGGCCCTCCCCTAAGGTGCTTACCTCTATTCCCATTCCTCCTCTTACCTATTTATACCCCTTAGGGGCCCCACTTATGTAACCTGGTCCCTCTGTTTCAGCAGGTTTTTCCTGAAGCTCTGGCCACTCCTTTTGGCTCATCTGAGCAAAGTTGTAGCCATTAAAATGATGAAGAAAAAGAATGTGCACAGAGTATGCCATTTTCTCCTTAAAAAAAAAAAAACTGCCCTGAGGGAAAATCTGAATAGGAGTAGAGTTATTTCTCAAATAAAAGCCAATGCAGAAATATAAAATATACCAAATTTCTCATCTCCGTCTTTCTTTCCCCATCCCTCCCCCCTCCTGACCCACACGTACACACTGATAATGAACAACTTCAGAGAAGACCTGGCTCAGTAAAAAGATCTGTATCCACGGGAACTAGAAGCAGCTAGATCATCTGATAGAATTCCTAAAGCGATTAGGATCAAATATGCACACACAGAAACTCCATGCATTAAAGATTTAGAGAATCTGAAATCAAACCTTCTCTTTCACCCTGAAAAAAAAAAATCACTGCATCTCATGCTGATCATATTACAAGTTCACTCAATTGGTTAACTTCTTTTTTGTGACTCCCTCACTCTTCCTAAATTTCTTCTCTTTAACTTCCCTGACTTTCACACCTCCATTCGCCTTGCTAGAAGTTCCTTATAGAGAAATATTTGTGTTACAGTGGAAAACTGTATTATCTATAGCATGTCCTTCTGGGCTCTAGTCCTGTTCATGAGCTACTTTGCAATTCTTTGTAAGCGGTAGGTAACTGATAGATATGTGAATTCTGTCTTGTTTGGTAGTATTTCTAAGTAACTTCCTCCCCCTTGTGGCAAAACCATTTTTTGTGAACTTTTGCAATACATCTCAACATCCCTTTACTTCATAGAAGTCTGTCCTGTTTTTAATTTTTCTTTAAAGCTGTTATAACATCTGCCTGGTTTTCTTATATCATAGAAGTGACAAAGACTCTCCTCAACCTCTCAACCAGGCTACTGTGAACCCTCTTCTCAACTAGGCCTTGACTTTGGCCCCATGTCCTTGGGGGGCCTGCCTAGGCCAGTTGTAGCAAGAATTCCTCACCCTTGATATCTGATCAGTTAGGCCTGACTTCAGCAAGGTTATCCTTACTGTTGACATCTCCTCTTAGTAATTTTCCAACCATTGGCCCGCCTCTTTCTACTTCTAGGCTGCAAATCCCCAACTGTCTTTGTTGAATTTGGAATTGAGCTCAGTTCTATACTGAGATCTCTACCCTATGGATTCCAAGAAGAAAGACACATTTGATGTGAACTCCAAGAAGGAATTTATCTGCTGAGAGTGACTTCCCATGGTCAACGAAGGGCACAAATTTTATGAATAATGGCAGTCCAATGGCCATTTGCTGACAGGGGCTCATCATGTATTCTGTACATTGGAAATAACCTCAGACTGAACTCTCAGCTTCTCACACTATGCCCTGTTTAAGTCAACCACTGCAGGCAAGCTCTGGTTCATCCTTCAACCAACAGACTGAGACCTACCCTGTCCAATTAGAACTACACAATTTGTATATCCCATTTATATAAAATAGACCTAATTGAAAACTTCAGTAGCCTCCCCTTTGTCTCAATGGAACACAAGTTAGTTGCTACATGAATCTGTCTCCTGGGCTACAGCTCTTTTTTGCTCAATAAAATGCTTTTTATCTTTTTTCTTTTTCCTTTTCTTTCTTTTCTTTTTCTTTTTTCTTTTTTTTTTTAACTAGAGAGGAAGGAAGGAAAGGGTGGGGTAAGAGAGAGAGAAGAGACATACATTGATTGCCTGCCTCTTGTATGCACCCGACCAGGAATCGAACCTTCAACCTAGGTATGTTCCCTGACCAAGAATTAAACCTGCAACCTTCCAGCGCATAGGACAAAACACTCCAACCAACTGAGCCACACTGGCCAAGGTTGCTTTTTGTTATTTATTACAGTCTAAAATTAATTTAGTTTACAAGCCCTAATACAAAAGTTCCTGAATAAAGTCTGTTTCTACTGTTTTAACTATTGTCAGGCTCTGGCTCTCTTTAATAGCAGTAAAATTAATTCTTTAACATTTGTTCATTTTTATATCTGTACTAGAGGCCTGGTACACAGATTCATGCACTGGTAGGGTCCCTCGGCCTGGCAGGTGAACATCCCTCAAGGGGTCCTGGATTGTGAGAGGTCATAGGCCAGGCAGAGGGACCCTACTGGTGCACGATCAGGGCCAGAGAGAGACCGTGGGAGGGCTTCAGGGCATGTCCGGCCCATCTTGCCCAGTCCCAATCAGCTGGACACCAGCAGCAAACTAATCTACTGGTCAGAGCATCTGCCCCCTGATGGTCAGTGCATGTAATAGCGACTGGTCAAATGGTTGAACTAAGGGTCAGACACTTAGCATAATGAGGCTTTTATTATATAGGATGAGAGTCATGATTTTACCTTTTTCTGCAAATAATATTTTAACAGCCTTCTCCTGTTCTCACCAAAGCATATCTGTCACTTCTTCGAAGGAAAATTGATTTCATACCTATCTTTTCCAGAAAATCCTTTCTTTAATATGTTTGTATTGATTTTTATTTTTCTTTAGAGACAGAGGAAGGGAGAGGAAGAGATAGAAACATTGATAGGAGAGAAACATCATCCATCGGCTGCCTCCTGCATGCCCCCTACTGAGGATTGAGCTCACAATCCAGGCATGTGCCCTGACTGGGAATCAAACCAGCGGTCTCTTGGTTCCTAGGTCCATGCTCAACCACTGTGCCATGCTCAACCACTGTGCCACACCAGCTGAGCTTCAGTGTTGAATCACTTCATGTGTGATCAATGTGTTGCTTTGCTCTTGGAGGAGGTTTTACTATACAAAATTAGATTGCATTCCTAAGAATCAAGAGAGTCATGTGTTTCTTTAATATTTAGAGACCAGGACCCACCACAAGACTCTGGTAGAATTTATGTTCCCAGTCATGTCCTGAACTTCTACAAAGATGGGATGGAGGAATCAAAATCTATCCATTAACTCTAAACAATAATGTGATATTCATCTCAAAGTCCTCAGAGGCCCTCCTCATATAAAATGATTCCAGGAGGACTGGTGAGATGGTAGTGACTCCTGCTCTATCAGGCTTTATCTTTTTAACACTTCAGGCTTGTCAAATATTGTCAAGAACGACATCACATGCTCAGCAGGTGCAAGCTGCATTCTCAAAGAGAATATCACCAGCTACACTTTTATGTGATTGGCAGTCAAGAGACTGGAGTTACTGGGAAGAGACACCAATGAAAGTCTTCCTTAGAATTGCAATGGAATGGACCATTTCTGGTCCTTTTAACTACAAGTACTACATTTAAACTCCAGGGTGTACATCCATGGGTACACGAAAGCCAGTGTCAATGATAGCACAAACAACACACCTTTGCCTTTTCAATGTGCACGCCTGGGATTGTCTTTTGCTGTAATATAGTGTTTCCTAAAGTGTGGTATGCGTACCTGCAGGGGTACGGGAAGAGTTTGGTGGGGGTACGCGCTGCACCGGAGTTTGGTGGGGATATGCACTGCACCGTGCTTAGCTGCGCCTAATTCTATGTTCTCATGAGTACAAGGGGTACTCAGCGTTACGAAAATTATAGAAGGGGTACACATATGTCAAAAGTTTGGGAAACACTGTAATCAATCAAATGTATTTCCTATGCTTGCCACACAAAAATATGCCATACATTTCATGTTTAATTATTCAGCATCTCCAAGTATTCAAAACAGAACTTCCCAATGCTTGTTTTGTTAATATTTTGACATGCTGTCTTACCAGGAGGTACCCAACACACTATTTCACTAATGTGTGCAAGGATTTATACTGTCTAGGAGTTCCTGAACTACATCTTGTTATCCATAATTTATATCAGACTCTGGCTCAAATAGCAAAAGGAATAGCTCAAGCACTAGAAGTATAACAGACAAGCATACATTTATCAGATAGAAGTTTTAATTGCGTGCCAGCCAGATTGGAATCTGGACAATGAGTAACACATCTTATTGTTCCTGAATAAATACCTTAGGAGAAGTGGACCAATCCATCAATTAATTAAAAAGTCACTTGCTTACCTAATATTGATCAAACTAATCCTTGTGAATTGCTGTTCTGGTTGGGCTTAGGCACTAAGAAATTGGACATGAAGTGGATCCAATATTTCTTATTATGATGATCCTTAGGCTCTTGCCCTCCTCCACAATCTAACATCCAGTTCTTAAATGGTGCTACACAGTCATGATTTCAAAGCAACAATTAGCTTGTGATCAACCTCAGAAAGAACTTACAGCCCTCGTTATCAAGTTTGGCTGCTGAGTGACTGAGAGGGGTAGTTGGGAAATTCTGGGAAAGTTGCTGGTGCAGGACTGGCAGAGCTGAGATGTAAGTACTAATTTTGAAGACAGTGACAGATGTACCATAGGCACAGCCTGTCCTGATTTGCGCAGAATTAAACTCCCAAGGTCTTCTGAGGAATCCAGAAACAACTTAATTTGCTTTCCTTAAGGGCAGAATACCCCATTTGGCCAGTTACTGGTTGTCTGCTCACCCAACAAGAGAAGAGTAAAGCTTACCATTTCCAAATATAGCTGTGATTCTCCTTCTTTCCTCATCCATCTTTCATGTAGATAAATCCTTTGTTAGAT